TGGCCATTAGCTCAGGTCTACCACTGACTAGCTTCTACATTTAAACTCAGCCCATTTCTGTTAATCTCTATGTTGCCACATTTTCTGTGGTTCTACCTGTGTGCCAATACACGTTGCTCCATGTATGGTGGGCTGGCATCTCCTTACTCAAACTTTCTCTTCCTAGAATTCTCCTTTTGTTTACTCTGCCTATACTTCCTGCCTGGCTAGTGGCCAATCAGCTTTTTATTTATCAAGCAATCAGAGTAACACTTTCACAGCATACAGAACATCCCACAGCAGGCATGAGGTCTGATGCTCACATTGGTACAATTGAGAATGTTCATGTTGTACATTTCTCACAGATGCTCCTGCAGGACAAATTGAGTGGGCCATAAATGTAAGGGCTGACCTAGATAAAGTCCACCCCCTACTGTACCCCATCAGAATACAGCCAGCTACTGAGCTCTGTCAGCCTATTTCAATAACTCTGATTATCTTTCAGGGCATGGATAAGCACATTAATTTTTAAAACTTTATATAACTGTATTGCCTGATGTGTGTGTGTTCATGCCTTGAAATGTTTTTAGGGGTCAGAGGGCAACTCTGTGGCATAGGCTCTTGTCTTCCACCTTATGCAGGTTCCAGGGGTCAGGTTGTCAGCTTCACTCATTAAGAATTCCTGAGCCATCTCAGCAAGTGAGACAGGCCCATTTTGAGGCATAATGGGTCAGGAAGTCTATATCCTGTACTTACCCTGAGTGGGTTTAGCCCAAGTGTATAAACTTGGTTTAGCCAAGTGTCAAATACCTGTTTAGTTGCTAGCCAAACAACAGCCTATGAGCAAAACCAGATACTGTTGAGCCAAGAGGAGTGGGGATGAGGAAAGGATTTTTAAATGTAAAAACCACAAGAAGACTTGAGTATCTGCACAAGCAACCAAGAGCTGTTTTGCTCTGTCAAGATAAGATTGTCCTTGAGTGTCTGCATAAGCAGGTTAAAGAAGCCAAAAAGGCAGCTAGTCATATCATAATGAAGGATATGGTTATGGGTGTACATTTCTGGGTTGGTGAGGTGCTTACTGAGTTGAGGTTACTGGGGTGTTATCTTATAGGGACTGGAGTCAGATTAAAATTGCTATT